AAGCCCTGGGCCTGCTGAGCTGCCCCAGGGCAGTGGAGGGCTGGGAACCCCTGCTCTGGGCTTGGCTCGCTGCTGCGGAGGGTTGTTGCTTGCCAAGGGCATGGATTTGGGATGTGGCAGAGTCATATGCCCTGGGCTTGTTGCTGCCTGGCCTCCAGCAGCTTTTGTCCTTGTCCCAGGAGCAGTGCTGTGGCTTTTGTTGTGCTGGAGATGCCTGCTGCCCACAGTGGCTGATGCCCACATGGGCTGGGGACCAACTGTGCTACTATGCTGCGCTGGGAGAGAGGTGAGAAAAGAAAGTTGTAATTGCATTAGTACAACGCCTCTGCTCTCAGATCTACCAAATTTAAAATGGCTGTTTGTTATTCGCATCTTTGTTATTGGAAGACAGAAGCATATTAGTAAAACGATGAATGACATGTTTGCTTATTGTGGGTATTGATTGCTTTAACTTTGTGACAGGTCTGAAATGCACACTCTTGGAAAAAGTCCAAGTAGACTTTACGCACTTGACATGTTCGACTGAATCGCAAAGGTCTAAGAATTTGTTCAGGAAATTAGTTCAACATGACATGTATTTGAAAGAGCCGCTGTTTTGTTACATGTATTATAGGGCTGGATTGTTAACTGAAAAACAATATCAGCAACAAAAATGTGGTAGGGGATTTGTGTGAGATTGCCCTTTTGTCCTGAAAGCTGTGGCAGAAGGAGAAGTGTGAATAAACTGCGTAGGAAGGAGTGTTGAGCTCAGTCTGGTAATCAAATGTTCCGTTATATCTGACACTTATCTTGTGAGTAGGGCTGAAAGTCAAGTGCCTGCAATCAGCAGAGAAGTGTAGATGCATTTTCATTATAAATTAAGTGGGTTAATTGTATTTGGTTGGGTTTTGTTGTGGTTGTTTTAAATTGTATTACGCCCATTCCCGGCAAACACAATATTGTGCGATGTTTTTAAAAGGCCACATGTTTTGTGCATTGTGAGAGTGCAGGTGTGGCTCTGATAGGACTCGACTGTCCAGGCAAACCCTCATCAGCCTCTTCACTCTGTGATTCAGACTGGGTGCGTTCTTCTCAGGATCCTAGCCATGCGTTTTCAGGCTGTGTCTCCTGCTGCTGCTCATATGTGGGAGCAGCTTCCCATAGACCTGGCTGCCTCACCGCTCGTTGTCAGCCCCTCCTTACAGTGCTCTGGTCTGCTTGTACCTTTAACAAAAAGGAATTTTAAAAAAGCCAAACGAAAAAAAAGTTATTTTGCTGGGGAGGACGTGTGTACCGCTTCCAGTTGAACAGTCTTACTGTTTTTTTCCCTATCTCACAGGTTTTCTTTTGTCTCCTGTCCATAACAATCCCTTGGGGTTTCTCACACCCGCCTATATGTTTGGAGTTATTTTTTTGCTTTCTCAGTACACATTAGGAGAACTTATGCTGTGAATGGTGTTTGTAGACAATAATGATGAAAAAAATCAGTAATCCCTAAATTCCTCAGGGTAAAGATTCTTTACCTGACCATAACACCACGCTAGTAGACAATGGACAACCCCTGCTTACTTCATTCTTGTGGATTTTTTTTTAGTACAGGCTAAGATCCTCACTTGTGCTTGCTGTTTCATAAGAGGTTGTAGTTGTTTGGAAGTTCTTGATGAAGCTGTATTAGAAAATTAATAATTTGTTTTCAATTGCTGCATCTTGCTTTCCTTTTCTGTTGCAGCAGAAAATTTTTCAGAGATTCAAGTATTACTGAATGCATTAGATCAAATTCTATGCGTTTTCTCATCCATGAAATTAGTCACATTAGGTGAGATACAGTAGATACCTTGTGAGTAACCAGATACTATCTCCAGATGATGTTTGCAGGTGATAAGAAATGCATGGGAGTATTTGACAGTGACTTTAAAATTGTTTCAATAAAGCCTATAACATTAATAAAATATTGAGAAGGATGGGAATAAACTAGGCAAATTGTCTCACTTTTAAAAATGTTCTAAAATACATGAATCTTGTATATATGAATACATGAATTTTGAATTCTTTATATTCAGATTAAGTGTTTTAGATTATGCTGGTTGATGTTTAAAATGTCATGTAGTGAGATTCATAGATCCTATAAATCTAAAGGATTTTTTTTCCTCCAAGTGGGAGGATTGGAAGAAAAAACAATGATTTCATCAGTAGCTGTACTAGTCAGCTCTGTAACAGGCATTCTACACCTGCTTGTCATTCAAAGAAACCCCCAAAGATGAATGGATAATTCATTCATTATAGGGTGCCAGCAGGGAGTCACCTTATTCAAATAATCTGACTGGTTGTGTCAGTTTGGCGAAAATCCAAGTTTTGAATGATGGTCCTTAGATTTTTGTGTATGTATGCATTTGTTACTGCAGCATCATTAACTCTTAGGGACAAAGGAAATAATCCACTTTTGTGCGTGCTGGAGGAGTTTGGTGCTTTGTGGCGACAGGTCTTTTTCTTACAAAAGAAAGAATGAATAAGTCTCAATGACTTAACACCAATGATTCCAGTAAATCCTGGTGTGTCTTGAGAAAATACCAAGAGGTATACCAAGGCTAGGTGTGCTTGCAGTATATTAAGGGTGTCAGATCTGGGCTTCTGATGGAAGAATATGAAATCTGCAGGAGAGACTTCTCTGATAGTTACGGGCGTTTGTTCATTTAAATTCCAGCTCCAGGAAGTTAGAAGTACTCTGCTTTGGGAATCTGTTTTATTTGTTGCTGCTGAGACTTTTTGCTACTTTAATGTGCATGGGATTAAAGTTACAAATGCTTTGTTATCAAGGTACTTAGTAATTTCTGTGTTTTGATGAATAGCTTTTAGAATAAAAAAAGTCTGCTTTAAAATGGTTTTGCTCGGTCATTCTGCAGTAGGGAGAGCACTTAGTTATTCAGATAATACTATACAACGATGAAGAGAAGTTTGACAGAGACTGCTAGCAATGATGTAGACTATTGAATACAAAGGAAGTATCTAGAAAAAGAGGGGCCGAAAGCTCCTTCGTGACCCCTCTGTGGTTCTGTACAGATGTGTAAAACAGACCTGTAAAGAGCAACAGGCACACGCTGCAGAATGACCATATCGAGGGCTGTGGCTGTGATGTGGGGAGCTGAACAGCAAACCAAAGCTCCAGGTGCTTGACTTTCTTTTTTTGTTCTAGGCTGACAGGCAGATTTCTAGTGGTAATGTTGCCTGCGAGGTTGTGGTGGTTCACTGGCAGACTCAAAAGGAATAAAGCCACAGCTGAACAAGTTCAAGTTCTTGTAGTGTCTTCTTCCAGTAATTTGAAAGGTCTAGCTTCAGAAAACCTTTAATCTATCCTGTTAATTGTGAAATATCTAGAAAGAAGATGTGGATTTCTTATAAAGAATTCTTTTATATCCTTGATACAGTGTGCTGCATAGTATTAAAAGATGTGTCAAAACTTGTCTCAGTGGGAAAGAATTTGTATGCGTAGTTTACGAGCATCTATTTATACCTGGACTGCTTCTGATATCCAAATCAATGAGCAGGTCCAAACAGCATTTCTGTTTCCCCCCCCCTTTTTTTTTTTTGGTCTGCAGTAATTATTTCACTGAAGTGTATTTCTTCCCAAAATTACTCTGACATGAGCTTCTAATCGAGAATGAGAAATATCTGCTCCTCTATCATAGGCTAGTTAAAGTTGTGTCATTGCTCAATCTTGAAAATGAAGCGTCTCTCCCCAGCTGGCAAAATGAAGATTTCACACTTGTTTCTAACTCTGAATCATGCTCAGGCATTGCACTTTAAAATCAAAAAACTATTGTGAATGTGCAGGATTTTACATTCTGCTTATATGAATCCAACAGTTGCTAGTTTTTTCAGTCTCCAGGGCTGGCTTTGCAGGTAGGAAGGTAAGGAAGGCACTATCAAAACATTTGCTTATATCTGAAATATTTCTAATTTATTTTCCTCCTGGTAGTTTGGAATGCCTTCAAAATGTTGTGCAGCAAAATAGTCATTTTAATGCAGTAGAAATGAAAAGATTGTTACTTGAATGTAATGATCTGTACATAATGCTTCTCTTAATCTTTGACCAAAGCAGCTATCTAAACTCCCTGAATGCTTAGGAGAGTCCTAAGATAGTGCATAAGCTATGAGTTTTAATAATTCAAACATAGTAATACTTTGATAAATAGCAAAACACCCTTTGCGCCGGTGGGACTTGAGGGAAAGGAGAGGCTGGTTTGTGCTAGAGGATGGTCCATGGTATCTCTGGTGTTCTGCCCCTACTCCTGAGAGCTTTGGTGTCACAGCTGCAATTAGTGGGCTGAATTAATCATCCAGAAGTTGTAGATTGAAGTTTGTGGGCATGTTGGTGCTTTTTTTGGATGTGGCCTTTGGAGAGTATTCTACCATTGTGAAGTCGCTCATAGAAATTAAAATTTGGGGATAACTGAGTCGTGTAAGTGAAAGAAGAAAGAAAGATAGGTGGTGTGATAATACGGTTGAGCTGGGTGTCTGCGTATACGGTGTGCAGCCTCTAGATTGCTGAACAGTGGAGGAGTTTTCTTTTGTGTCAGCAGAGACAGAGAATTGCACCTTGTTTTAGCTGCATCCGTTGTGAGTGCGAATGAAAAGAGCGCACCTAGTACCAATATGCTGGCACCGGGAATCTTGCAGAGAAAGTTCCTTCATCTCATTATTTAAACTTGCCCTTTCAGTTCAAAATGGGCTGTGTTAGATGCTTAGCTGTCTCCCAATTAAATTGGTAGGCTGAATTGATCTATGTGATAAGATTAGAGGCAGCTAAATGTAAAGCACTATAGCAACGTAAAGTTTGCATTACTGAAATTGCGTTTTGAGGGGGAGGGTGATGCGAGTGACACATAGCTCCTTCCTGGCCTGGCAGAAGGTTGGATCAGGGGATGCTGAGGAGCAGCTCGTGGGGACAGTTTGCTGGGTGTAACTGAGCTGCGTTCGGCTGCGTGCAGCTCGCCAGGTCCCAGCGCTTGGTTAAGGTCGGAGGGATGGCCAGGGGGAAGTCTCAGCGGGAGTAATAAGGATTGTGCCCTCCGTACGGTATAGTTAATTGTTGTATCTGTAATGTAACTATCCTGTCTTCAGTTTGAACAACAACAAAAGTAGATACTGTTTTCCCAGCCTAATGAATGCCCATAAAGCATGCCAGTAACTTTGCATGTTAAGAAATCAAAGTGAAAACTTCCCAGTGTTACTGGAATAATGTAACGTTCAATATTTTTCTACAGAAAAAGGAGGGAAGGAAAGCCTTGAAACCTGTCTTGTTTCTACTCATGTGAAGTAAATCTCTTTACCTGAACTTGTGTATCTGAGGTGTAAGATTTGCTGTGTGTGCTTTCACATTTAATGTTTCCTTAGTGTCTAAAAATTTACAGAACTTCGGTGATATTTTCTGAACTTATATAACTGCAAACTAAGCAACCATCAGAAGATGGTACTAGAGTCAGGAGGTGCTTTTAACCTTTAGATTGTGATGTGTAGCTCTGGTAGTTATTCTTCTAGCTTTCACTGGCTTTTTATCCCTTCTGTGTCTCCCTGACACACCCCCCCCCCTTTTTATTTTGGTCTCACTGTCCACCAGTCGGAAATATTTTCTTAGAACAGAAATTTCTGCTGCCGTGTCAACTGCAGACTCTGTTACAAAGTTATAATTTGATGTCACAACTGCAGATTCATAGCAAGGTCTTGCTTAAGACAGATCGTGATGCTTGCTTAAGACAAGATTCAAGACGGGTAATAAATAGATTAACTAGCTGTATTGCGCAGCTCTAATTGTGATGTTATCTATGAAATCAAACTCCTCAGGGTTATAGGTGTGTGGCAGAAAAAAAAGCACGTTTGATCTCTTTCCTGTTGATCCGAAGTTGCTCCAGTGGTGCTGGTACAGGAGTAAAGGATCGTGAATATAGCTTTAAATGTAACCATGCATGATTTCTTCTTGTGTAACAGTGCATTTTAGATTACTCTTGTTTGTCAGATATTTTTATTGCCTTGAATTATTTGAAAATTACTAGTTATGTAAGAAAGATAAGTACAAAGCTCAGTTTGTATCTATAACTGATTTTCTTCTTTTTGTACACAGAAATGAACATCTGCACAGATGCTCTCAGTGCAAGGTTGCTAAATACTGTGGTAAATCTTGTCAGGTAAGATAAAAAATAAGAACTATAAAGGGTTGAAGAAAATGGGCATCTGAATACTTTATTTACAGGATATCTATGCGTTTTGTGCATTGTCATACCTCCACACTGCAATTTCTTATTTGTAGTTATGGACGGCGTGTGTAAACATGCTGCCTTGCTTTGAGTATTTTTATGGTAACAAATATAAGATTATAGTCAGTGCAATAGACAAAACTAAGCTGAAATCTGTGGTGCTTACTTAGAGGGGGAGGAATAATTCTCCAACTTTGCTGGCTGCAGACTGAAGGCTCTTAAGTCAATTTTGCAGTAAAACAGTTTGTGTTTCAAGAGTAATTTTTATCATGGCAAAGTATATATTCCAGTTTTTTCAGAGGAAATGAGGGTCAAGAATGTGCAGAGAAGAGAAGGCCTTGGGCAAAACTGCATCTCTGGGGAGGTTTTCAAGAAAATGGAGCCAGGCTTTTCACAGTGGTGCATGGTTGGAGGACAAGGGACAACAGGCTTAAGTTGAAAGAAGAGAGGTTCACATAGGATATAAGAAAAAGTTGTCTCACCCTGAGTACAGCCAGAAGGTGGAACAGGCTGGCCGGGGTGCTTCTGCTATCTGCATGCTTTGAGGGTTTCAACACCCGACTGGATAAAGCTCCGAGTTGGGTCTGACGCCAGAGCTGACCCTGCTTTGCAACTAAAGATCTCCGTACATCCCTTCCAACCTGAATTATCCTGTGATTCTAGACCATGAAACAATCCTTAAAGGTGTTCAAACCTAAAGCCTTGGCTTTTATATTTGGCTTGTCACTTAAGCATGTGCGCAGAAGTTGGCAGGACTTGGTACTGAGTGGACATGCAAGGCTAAATGATTGTGTAAGGCCAAACACAGCAGAGAACCAGGCACCTGAGATTTGAACTGTGAGGGTCGCCTTACAGAGCCCTTGAATTTTTAAATGTTCCTGTTAGCTTTGCTTTGTGATTTCTGTTGTGGGTTTTTTTTTTCTAAATAGAGAAAAATGAAGAAAATCAACTAATGGTCAAAACAAAGTAGTAGTGATACTCTATTGAATGTATATGAATTTCACTTTTTGAGTTAAGTCCTTGATATTCAAGTGATCTTTTCACATATCATGTGCTTCTGTAAACAATTCTGCCTCAGTATGTTCTGCAGTGTTCTCAAAACACCAGAAACCCCTCCTTTTTGGGATTGAAACATACAGAAAGGGAATGGAGGAAGATATGTCATTTTGATTCATTGTATGGCAAACGTGTGCAAAATACATTAGGTGCTTACTGTAGCATCAATAATCATGCCACAGGTAGATTTATTATGGGAGATCATAACGAAAACATGACTGTGAAGAGTATAAAAGGCCAGAGTATTTGCAAGAAAAGTTTAAAACAAATATCTATGAGGAGAGCTATGGGTAAAGCTTCTATTGTCAAGTCTAACGTGAAATGAGACAGTGCTGGCACTGACCTGCACAAGCAAATCTGCAAGGTGTAATGCAATACCCTGTTCCCACCTGGGTGTAGTGGCAATGAAGGTAGGAAATGAGGCTTGCTCCTTGGGAAAAACAACTATGTCGGCGTGCTTCAAGGGTTCACGCTGGATAGCCTGAAGCCATCTTGGGTATCTTTGATTTGTGCTTCCAGCTCTAGGGTTCATGTGCTTGAAGCCGTCCACAGTTGTAGGTATTGATTTCAGCAGACAGGTTACTGCTGCTAAAAGTGATCTGCACTTAATGTGCTGTGTATTTAGTGTTACGTAGTATCCTGAACTGTTACTATCAATGAATTAATATTATATAATATCCTGTGGTATTAGGTAGCAATAGAGAATAACTAACTGAAAAAATGTTACTTTCTAATCAAAACGGTGAATTTATTGGAATTGATGACTAAGGGTAGATGATCCAGATAAGACTGAGACCAGCCAGATCTGTTTGCTTTTGAGGACTGTCCTCTAATTTGTATTTCTTTTGATAAACTAGCTAAACTGGTGTGCAGCTCTGGTTTTATAGCAGCTGTTAGCAAAGCTCTCCTTGGCCAAGCCGAAGGCGTTGTGCTCTGCTTAGCCTCTGTAGCTTCAGCGCAGTTCATTAATATGTGCACTTCTAATTGAACTAATTGCTGAACAAAATACACAGCAGGGTATTGAATGAAATTGCAGTTTGCACATTTAAAAAATGCATATTGGCAGAACAGGACTATTCTAGTTTTATAAATACAGATAACTTTGAAATGCAAATTGTGTGGTAGGATTTACAATTTACACTTAGTTGCAGAATGATTTGATTATTTCTTAATGTGTATTAAACGAATCCTGCAACTCAAAACTTTGAGCTTGGGCTTCAAAAGTGTCAGTTTTCTGGAATTTTCTGGTTAATACATTAAATGAAATCAGAATTAGTGTAAAAATCTTTCTTAAAACAAAATAGAGATTAATCTGAGTAGCTGAACTAGGTTTAGGTTAAAGGTGGACTTTGTGAAGGAAACTTTAAAGTAGATGCAGCAGGGGATTTCTGTGTTAGGATGTATCAAAATGAGCCTTTTTTAAAGCTGCAAATGTCTTGTAGAAGTCTTTGTTTTGCCACCAGCAAACAGCTAGTAAACACCAGTAAACACTGTCTCCTACGCCATGTGGGCGCTGGCCCTGTTCACATGGGTAAAGCCTGAGGAATTGCACTTGGGATACAGAATCACAGAATAGTAGGGGTTGGAAGGGACCTCTGTGGGTCAACTAGTCCAACCCTCCTGTCGAAGCAGGGTCACCTACAGCAAGCTGCACAGGACCGCGTCCAGGCGGGTCTTGAATATCTCCAGAGAAGGAGACTCCACAACCTCCCTGGGCAGCCTGTTTCAGGGCTCCTTCACCCTCAGAGGGAAGAAGTTCTTGCTCATGTTCAGACGGAACTTCCTGTGCCTCAGTTTGTGCCCATTGCCCCTTGTCCTGTCACTGGGCACCACTGAAAAGAGCTTGGCCCCTTCCTCCTGACACCCACCCTTCAGATATTTGTAGGCATTTATAAGGTCCCCTCGCAGCCTTCTCTTCTTCAGGCTGAACAAGCCCAGTTCCCTCAACCTCTCCTCGTAGGGGAGATGTTCCAGTCCCCTCACCATCCTCGTAGCCCTCCGCTGGACTCTCTCCAGTAGCTCTTCATCCTTCTTGAACTGGGGAGCCCAGAACTGGACACAGTACTCCAGATGAGGCCTCACCAGGGTAGTGTAGAGGGGAAGGAGAACCTCCCTTGTCCTGCTGGCCACACTCTTCTTGATGCACCCCAGGATCCCATTGGCCTTCTTGGCAGCCAGGGCACACTGCTGGCTCATGGTTAACCTGTCGTCCACCAGGACACCCAGGTCCCTCTCCGCAGAGCTGCTCTCCAGCAGGTCCACCCCAAGCCTGTACTGGTGCATGAGGTTGTTCCTCCCCAGGTGCAGGACCCTGCACTTGCCCTTGTTGAACCTCATCAGGTTCCTCTCTGCCCAGCTTTCCAGCCTATCCAGGTCACGCTGAATGGCAGCACAGCCTTACAATGTGTCTACGACACCTCCCAGTTTGGTGTCATCAGCAAACTTGCTGAGGGTACATTCTAACTCTTCATCCAGGTCGTTGATGAAGAAGTTAAACTAGGCTGGGCCCAGTACTGACCCCTGGGGGACACCACTTGTTACCAGCCTCCAAGTAGACTCAGCGCCGCTGATGACAACCCTCTGAGTTCTGCCATTCAGCCAGTTCTCTATCCACTTCACCGACCACTCATCCAGCCCACGCTTCCTGACCTTCCCTAGGAGGATATCATGGGAGACTGTGTCGAAAGCCTTGCCGAAGTCAAGGTAGACAACATCCACGGCTCTCCCTTCGTCTACCGAGCCAGTCATGTCATCGTAGAAAGCTATCAGATTGGTCAGGCATGATTTCCCCTTGGTGAATCCATGCTGACTACTCCTGATAACCTTCTTTTCTTCCACTTGCTTGATGATGGCCTCCAGGATAAGCTGCTCCATCACCTTTCCCAGGATGGAGGTGAGGCTGACCGGCCTGTCATTGAGCTTGAAAGAGAGACAATGATTTGGGAGGAGATAACAGGAGGAATATTCTTTCTGAGTTACTAAGTGTGGTGAGGTGGAGGGCTGAGTACTGCCCTGTGCTGTTTCCTTGTCTTTCTTTGCCTCCTGATAATGTTCATTTCTAACAGGAGGAAAAAAAAAAACTGTTGCAAAATGGGAAGACCTTACATGGTGAGGAGGGAGAAGGCTTGTACCAGGTGGCCGTACCTCTGCACTGCAATATTTATACTAATGCTGGATATGGTATATAAAAACCTTAATACGCAGAGTTAAGAAAACCTCCCATGGAGAACTGTGGGCCTATTCTGTGCCCACCAAGTATTGTTACAGACTGACTTTAAAAGTAGGTCTCTCCAGGGTCGCAAATCTTCATGGTTTCATATTGTTCTATAATTTGTATCCTTGTTTTATTGGTAGTGCGAAGAAATGTTGTTGAATTCCATTATACATAATACATTTGGAGCTTTTCCCCCTCTCCCCGTCCAGTTGGGAGGAAGTGAATGTCAGTCCCCGTTCCAGCACTCCTTCAGCAGAGGACTCGGGCTAATTCCTTCTTGGCATCGGTTTTGGCCGAAGCGCTGTTTTGCAGAAGGCATGTGTTGAACTGCTCTTCTCATGTGGGAACACAGCTCAAAGAAACGTGGTGTATGATGCTATATGGTACTGCATGTTTAATCTCATTAGGGCTTTATTGGTTGGGTAAGCTATTAATCATTTTGATGTCACCTCTAGCATGTTTAAAATTCTGTGCAACAGTTGTGTAGGAAAAAAAACATTGACAGATAAAGGCTTACTCCAAAGAACAATTTTAGTTTAAGTGGGATAAAAATGCCAATTACTCAGAATGATGTCTGGACATTTACAAGCATGACCTTGTTTCTTCTAGACAAGAATAATTCTATTCAGCAGTAGATACTTAACTTTTATTTGTCAGACAGCATGTGACTCTAACTGTATTTGGATTAATGCCTCATTTAGTCCCCTTGTAGAGTTATGGGTAAAGGAAATTAAATTACAAATCTCCCATGTATCTGAAAGAAATATAAAGTCCAATTTATTTATTATGTGTAAGCCAATGGGGGGGAAAAACCTGTATGAAACAGAAGAAGTACTAGTGGTGCTGAAACCTAGTTACCTGAAACAATTCCCCCACTTAAATGCAGCTTAAGAAAAATTGTGATAAACTTTCTAATCTTTATAACTAGCATGTCAGCTTCTACAGGTGTGATGTGAACTTGCACGTACCACTGCCATTCCCTCTTTTTTTTTTTATTGCTGAACATGTAATTTCTTTATATTAGACATTTTATCATTTTCTGTGTGGCAGTTACCTAACAGAAGCTGTTTTTCTGAGTTCATTTTTTTTTTCCTTACTGCATATCTATGAGAAAATATCACCTTCAGAAACCCTTGGTTATTCTGAGTTCTTGTCATTGTAGCAATTTTTTGTTGTGTGCTGTTTTTTCTATTTGTTTTTTAAGAGTATTTGAAACAGCTGGGTGGCTTCAAGCATATACTGTGAATTTATAAATAAAACGTGTAAATATGTACTATGTTAATTAGATGGGCTTGGAATTTTTGTAAATTATGAACAGAATTTTCAACTTGTAAAGACAGAAGGCAAAGAAAAATGGTGATCAGAAATTTACTGTGTCTTCCAACATGTTTCTCTAGCTGAAGACTCATTCTTGTTGCTCTTCCACACTGATCTAGGGGACACAAGGAAGGAGGGGGGGGAAAAAGAAACATATTTCAATATATAGCAGCTTTCCATCACCTTGTCATCCTGTCTCTTCTCTGCTATGGAAGTGTTAGTCTTTGCTCATCTAATAAAAGTGGTCTTTGAAGTAGAGATTGCAGGTTCAGGTAGTACATTCAACTAAAATATTTTTGGTTCCATCTTCCATTTTGGTAAATTTTGGTTACAACGACCATTCCTGGTCTGAACTGTGAAAATATCACCAGTCCTCCCAGCCGTGGGCCTTAATGCCTCATCAGATCAGGCATTTTTGGGGATGGATTTTGCAGTGTGGAAAACTGGACTACTGCTTTAGAGCAGCTGCATTTTGGTGAAGAGGATGGACTCTGAAGGTCTGTGTGGTCTTGACTGCTGAGTGAACGCTTCCCTAGAGTGTTGTGTATGTTGGCAGAATTAAGATAGCAGAGGAAACTTTAGCATCCCTTCTAGTTCTCTCCAATTTTGTGAAGTATGCAGCTCCATCTCTTCTTGCCACAATGAAATGAGAATCAGAGCCTGTTTATTTATCTAATAAGAAGTCCAGCTAGCTGGAACGGGGATATCAATTTGAACTAAGCTCATCATGCTATTTATATCATGTTGCATAAGGTAAACAAAAAGATTTGTATGGCAGGAACATGGGACAAAAAATGAAGGTATTTCATCTAGATTTCTGTGCCGTTTTCATTCTATCTCTGCATGTTTCTTTTGTACATTAAAGGCGTCAGATAAAATGTTTGAAACAGTGTGGTACGAACTATGTTGTCAGACAGTAAAAAGAAACAGAGGTTTGTAATGGCAAGGAACTGGACTGGGAACTTAGTGTTTCTCTTAGGTTTTTTTGAAGGTAAAGTTAAATTCTTGGGTAGCATAATGGTGATAAGGTTGTGTCCTGAACCTGCATTGCTGTAGCTCCAGTGCCCATACTATCAGTTACACAATTAATTGTGTTAGAGGAGGGAGTGGCGTGATGGGGTTGGTTTGAGTGGATAACCCAGCCTGTCCCTTTCCGCAATGCTCACGCTATAGCTGCAGTCTTAGGCTACACTGGTAAAGTGTGCGTGCTGCTGTTTCTGCAGCAGTTGGCATCTGAGGTTGCCTGTGTTGGAGGCTGCCAGTCAGTGGAGGGCAGTACCCGAGGAGGGTCCCCTACCTGGTCCTTTGGAGCTGGCTTTCGGCTCTGCAGCCTTCCTCCCAACCTGGCTCCATGGCTGTGATGCTGTTGTGGTTCTGGGTCCCCAGATCCAGCCCATGGCAAGGCTGAGCATGTTTGTTTGTGCACATATGTAAATATAAATAATTATATATGTAAAA